GTCAGGGTCTCCCTATAGCCCCAGCTGGCCTGGAACTCACTATGTAGTCTAGGCTGGCCTTGAACTCACAGAGATCCACCTGCCTCTACCTCCCGAGTGCTGGGGAAAAAAGTGGACTTGAATTCTTGATCTTTCTGTCCTTACTTCCCAAGTGCTGAGATTACAGGTGCTACCTAACATAGGGGTTTTGGACTCATACTAAGCAAGTGCTCTACCAGTGAGATAAGATTCCCCCATTGTTTTTGTTTTTAATCTATTTTGCAGTGCTCAAAGCTCACACATTCTAGCAAATGCTCTACCACTGAGCAATACCCCCAGCCCTACTTTCTCTGCTTTAAATGCTTTTTTTTATGCAAACAAGACAAAGTTGGCCAAGCCATAGATTAGAGAGAAATATAATCATGTCACCTGGGAGGTTCGGGTTCTGGTATGGTCAGCAGATGCCATAGCTCTGAGTCTTAGGCCTAAGCCACTAGAGACACAAACTATCCAGGCTCAACGTGTCAACCTCACTTCTTTCTCAAGACAGACAGCATGTAGAAATATTAATTCCTCAGAGCTGGAGAGATGGCTCAGTGGTTAAGAGCACTGGCTACTTTTGCAGAGGTCTCGGGTTCGGATCCCAGCACCCACATGGTGGCTAACAACTGGTTGTAACTACAGTTCCAGGGGATCTAACGCCCTCCTCTGGCCCCCGAGGCAACTACAAGCACTTACACACATGCAGGCAACACACTCATACACATAAAAAATACAAACAATTTTTTAAAAATCAGAAGAAAAAGAAATATTAATTCATCAAGCCCCTAATCTTGCCCTTAGAACTATGGAGCTGGAATTGCTCCTTGGTCTTTTGGCTAAGATCAAGTGTAGAAATACAGAGTTGGGAAAGCCTTTTAATTTAATTGATACATATACATTAGCACAGAGGAAGTTCTTACTACTCCCATCTTTTTTCCTTTGGAGTTGTGTGCCTCTGGTCAATTTAGTATGAAAGACTGTGGGTTAATGAGAGTAATAATGAGAAAAATGTAGAAATGTGAGCAGAGAATTTCTAGGTACACAATTAACCTGAAAATCACTTAAGGAATTTCAAAAATATATTATGGCATTTAAGGTTTCATTCTTCAAAACTGTGGCCTTTGGAGACTGTTCCATAAACTGACAATTCTAAGATTTATTTAACACTTACTATGTGCCACACATAACTGTATGCGGAAAACATAAAAGCCTTACTTTAATATTCCCACACACCTATGGTTTCCTTTTACACGTAGACCTCCAAGAAAAAAAGTTCAGACAGTGCTGGAATGTAGGAATGTAAACCCAGATCTTGCACTCTGACTTCACACTTTAAGACTTTGACTTTTTTTTTTTTAAAGACAGAGTCTTATTATGTAGTCCTGGCTGGCCTGGAACTCGTCACGTAGACCAAGCTGGTCTTGAGTTCACAAAGTTCTGCCTGCCTCTGCCTCCCTGGTGCTGGGATTAAAATTGTATACCACCTTGTACACCAGAAGTCCTTGCTTTTGGTTGAATTCTTTTTGTTTGGTTCTGAAGTACTGGACATCAAATTCATGGTATTTAGTGCATGCTAGGTAAGAGCTTATCAATGAGTTATACCATCAGCCCAAGATCAAGACTTTTATTTATTTATTTATTTATTTATTTATTTAATTTATTGGTAATCATTTAGTCATAAACATACCTAAGCCAGAAGAAATTCTTCTGATGATCCCTTTTCTTAACCTTGAGATATTTCCTCCTTTCTAGAGATAAATCCTCAACAAGAAACTTTGTTAGCTGATCAAGAAGCCTCACCTGTACAGAGCTCACTACTTCTACACCCACTCATTCACCCCTACCGCTTGAGGTCTGCATTGCCTGGCAGAGACCCCCGGCCTCCCGGAGTTAATTCCCTTCCTGAAACTCTTCTTCAATCCTGAGGATATCATCATTCATACAATTTTTTAGAGCAGGACCAGCTACATAGGAACACCAGTATAATAAACATGTGGGGCAACTGTTCCAAAATTAGGAATTTCACCCGGTGTGATGGCGCATGCCTGTAATTCCAGAGCTTGGGAGGCCAAAACAGAACTGCGAATTTCAGGCCAGCCTGAGCTACCTAGGGAGAACCTTCCTGGGGAGGGCGAGGAGGGGAAACACAGAAAAACAAAGGAAACGAAAAAGGAAGGAAAAAAAAATCAAGGTTCAGTGGTAGAGTAAGGAGTACCTGCCCCTTATGCCGAAGCCCCCCCCCCCCCCCCCCCCCACACACACACACACACCCACACACACACACACACACACACTTCCAGGATGAGACAGCCGAGCCCTAAAAGAAGCCCCCCACTCTTCTAGTGCAACGGAATTGGGCTGGCTTCAGCCCGCCCCGCTCTAGAGATGCCCTTAGAGTCCAGGCCACCTGTCAAAAGCCGTAAATCGTTCTGAGCCGGGTGGGGGTGGAAGGAAAGTAGGGAGGTGGCCTCCCATCTTCTAGAGAATGCAGTTCGAGAACGCACTCTGGAACTAACTCCGGGACTGGGAACCGCTTCCGTGGCTGAGCAGAAGCTCCCCGCACCTTGCGGATTGCCGGGTGGGCCTGGGCTCCACCTTCCCAGAGGGCGGGCCTCTGCGTGCTGCGCATTGCCGGGGCAACCGACGCCGTGAGCGGTGCATTGTGGTCTGCAACAAAATGCAGGAGAAAGATCCTGAGGGAACCATTGAGTCCACGGACCAATGGGAGGATGCCAGTGGCTATAACCAGCCAATAGCGACGTGCGGAGGGAGCGGGGCCGGCGGGAGCAGGGCGGGGCCTAGGCATTAGGCGGCGGCGGCTGGCGTGAGGCGGCTTAGATGCGCCACGGTTTCTGTAGCGACCGAATCTGCTTTCTGCGCTGAGTGGCGCGTCACCTGCCTCAGGAGACCGTAGCAGTCGGAAGCCTGCTCTACGGTGAGAGGCTCGGGGTCCTCCCTGCCTGCCGCACGGACCCGGCAGGCCCCGCGGCGAGCCTGTGCGGCGGGCCTCCAGTGAAGTGGATGGGGGGCGGCGGCTGATGGGGGGCGGCGGCTGGTGGGGGTCCCCGGCCGGGTGGGGAGCGCGGCCCCAACCCGGGTTCTTACCTCCTTCCCGGGGCCTCGTCCCTCAGATAACCATGTGCGACCGGAAGGCGGTGATCAAAAATGCAGACATGTCTGAAGAAATGCAACAGGACTCGGTGGAGTGCGCTACTCAGGCGTTGGAGAAATACAATATAGAGAAGGATATTGCGGCCCATATCAAGAAGGTGAGACGCCGGCGCGAGTCAGCGCGTAGTTCTTTCTCCCCGATTCTGCGTCCCGGGGGCGCTTGGTGGAGGTTTCTTGAGGCATGCAGGGTGGCTGGTGTATAGACATCTCTAGAAAGGACGCGAATGGATTTTGCGCTCCTCCTGGGAAGACCAGACCCTCAGCGCCCGAAGTTGTTCCCCCCCCCCCCCAACCCAGCTCCCTGGGGGAAAAGCGCCACCTAGCAACGGTTTCCAAGATCAGGGAGCAGCTAGCAAGCAATTCCCCCTACTGTAGGATTCCTGCGCCGAGTATCCATCTGGGTGTTCCGGAGCGGGGAGCTGCGTGGGTGTTTCCAGCCGGGCCAGAAGGAGAGCTTGCCAGCCTTTCAGTGGGGAAGCCAGTCGGCAGTTCAGGGAAAGTGGGTGGTAGTGGTGGTTGGGGGCTTGGGTGGAGGCTTGGTAAATGGTAGTTTGTAGAAAGCTGGCAAGGCCGCCAACTTGTCAAGCTATGTTTGCTGGAAGGGAGCGAGCTGCTAGCCGAAACCGTGGGAGGGTTCCAGTGGAGACTGGGGAGATGAAAGACTTCTCGTGAACAGAAGTGAATACCTTTTCTTCCTCTTTGGACAAATGCACCAGTATGTGCATCTAGCTTGTAAGAGTCTGCTCAGTAGACAAGAGGTTTTGATACTGCACGCAAGATGAGATACGAGGAGCCAAATTCTGTGTAACTCAGCATAAAGAATTTTACATCCTTTAGCCCTGCGTACATACTCACCTAGTGAGGAAAAATTAACGCAGGCTTTCTAGTTTCCGTGCCCACTGGGATGGGGAAAATAGGGAACAGTTGTCTCTAACTTGCTAATCTTTAAGATCAGGTAGACTTGGACCAGTAGGCCATGTGTGGGAAAGAGAACTATTCAAAAGGGAAAATGTGGCCATTTAGCTGTCAGATACTGTCACTAACATTTTTTAAAAAATGTATAGGAGTAGTGGCATGCTTAAGGGTCTTAACCCCTCCTTAAATATAAATCTTCATCCTAAATTTGGCTTGGATGGTTAATTGAGGCTTTATCCTTTTTGAAGTCTTTTCTATAGTAGTGCAGGAGGACAGTTAAGATCTTTCTAGAGAAGAATGGGTTAAATTTTTACTGTTTTCTTGGATCTGGGATGCATTGCAAACACAGTGGTAGGATAGTTTAATTCTGTTTGTCAAGAACAACCGGATAAACTACAAATGTTGATGTCACCCACCTTCATTAAACATTAGAAGGTAGGAAGGTACAGTCGGGAAACAAAGCTGTCTCTGAAGCTGACCTTTCTGCATTTGACCTCCGCCAGACATTCCCGTCTTAGCTCAGACAGCAAGCACATTTGCATTAATGTATGAGGTAGGCGACTTGGGGTCAGGGAACATTCTTTTATTCTAGGAATTTGCCTTGGCTGTGGCTGTGACTCAATTACAGCTAGAGTACTTGCCTGCGTACACAAAGCTGTAGGTTCGGTTCTCCAGCATGGAAATAATAGCAGGTGCCAGTTTCTCCTTTCTGGCCCTACTGACTCTGACTTTTCTAAAAAGTGACTTCTCCAAGTCTAGCACTAAAATTCCAATGTTTTGTTTTGTTCTTTTTCCCAGGAGTTTGACAAAAAGTACAACCCCACTTGGCACTGCATTGTGGGGCGAAACTTCGGTAGTTATGTGACACATGAAACCAAACACTTCATCTACTTCTACCTGGGTCAAGTGGCGATTCTTCTGTTCAAATCTGGTTAAAAGCATGGCCTGTGCCAAACACCCAGTGATCCATCCAAAAACAAGGACTGCAGCCTGAATTCCAAACACCAGAGACTGAAACCTTCAGCCTTGCTAAGGGAAAACCTCGTTTTGAATCTTTATTTTGTACAGGGCTTTATCCTCTGTACTAGTTTATGGTTATAAAATAGTAAAACAGCTTACATTTGTATTTATTTTCTATTCCATACTTCTTTGCCCATTTTTTTTTCCTTAGTCCATTCCTTTAAATAAATCTGTTGGAGATGTCTATGTGTGTGAATTAGTTTGTTCAAGTAAGATTGACTATGAACTATCAATTGATACTGCGACCAGGTTTGTAGAGTTTGTCCTCCAATTTGTTTCTGTAGGATTAGCCACTTCGGTACTGTTTGAGAACAGGGTACTTAGGACTGGCCTCATCCAGTTTTTGAATAGCAACCCTCCAGGGTTATTTAGGCTATTAGAGCCAGTGGGAGGTGCTTCATACCTGTAATCCCAGCACTCTGGAGGCTGTGAGGTAGGACTACAATTCCTTGTAGTTTGCTAGGCTGTACTTTCACTAGCATGGCTAGTAATCAGTAAATGTGGGTTCGCTTCAAGAACCTTATTAACGCTGTATTGAGTAACCACCAAATGCTTCGTGCTACCAACTTAAGGGATCTAGTCCAAGCAGAGATTTCTAAGCAGCCAACAGCTGCTATGTAGAATAGATTTGAATTGATAGATAATGGTCCTATCATAGGTACCATGAGGTCAGTCACATCTTTGACTTGACCTTTTTCATCACCAGAACTCATTCTTGAGGTCCAAGGAGCTTGTGTTACATCAGGATGGGGGAGGGATGTGAAGTTGTTTCACAGTTGCTTTTATGTGTGTGTGTAGATCAGAAGACGGGATCTTTCCTCCCACCATCTCAGTTCTGAGACCCAAGTGCCTTTTTACCTGCCAAGCCATCTCATGGTCAGTCATAGACTAGGCTGGCCTTAAACTCACTATGTAGCTGAGGATGACCTTGAACTCCTAATCCTGTGTCCACCTCCCAAGTGCTGAGATAAATGTATGCCTTCAAGCCTGGCTTGTTTCACTATTATTCTCCCTGCTGTCTGCAGGAAATGGTATTTTGAAACGAGATTGCAATTAGGGTGACCTACGTTTCTATTTGTGTGAACAGGTGGAAACTCAGGAATTGCCTCTATTCTCTTTCCCTCTTCAGTGACCTGGCTGCTTTTATTTGAAGCTCAACAAGAATCTGACTTTCAAAGCTTTAGCTAATCCAAACAGATGGTCTCTAGCAACAGACCCTACAGCTGATGGAAAATGAAGCTGGACATAGAGGGCTCTATCTTATTTGACCCAGCCCACATCTGTTAGGAAGGGAATAGCTTTTAATGTACATTTTTGGGTTCAGATGTGAAAAAACCATGTTGCTATAGAAATAAGATTGGGCTGATGGATTCTGAAGTTGCTCCCAGTGCCTGCTGCATCCTGTTTCAAAAGCCAGGAGTCTCCAGCTGGCTGAAAAAAACAAGTTTTTCAAAGGTTTATCATTTTCTCCAACACTCTTTACTGCTGTTCTCTAAGATGTATGCAGTTAGCTGTGTCTGAAAGCTATTCATTGACAGGGCAAGAGCTTGTGAGCTCTAAAAATAACCCCTACTGTGCTGGGCCAACAAGATGAATCAATCCTTTTCAAATAACCCTGAACTTGTGTTTTTTGAGACAGGATCTTGCTATGTAGCCTAGGCTGGGTTCAAACTCTGGAGTGCTTATGCCTCAGCCTCCTGAGTGCTGGGATTACAAGAATGCACTACACTACCATACCTGAGTAATTTCTGTAGTTTCTTAGCAAGGCTTCTTAATATTTATTAAGTTTCACATTGTTTTAGCATTAAACAGTAGTCTGTAGAGAGGCTAGATCCAAACTTGAATACTGGAGGGGGGTTAGGCTACAGGCATAAATAACTTTTCAGGGCCAGAGAGATGGGCTCAGCAGTTAAAAGCACTGGCTGGTCTTGCAGAGGACCCAGGTTCAGTTCCCAGAACCCACATGGCAGTTAATAACTGTAACTCCAGTTCCAGGGGATCAGACATCCTGTTCTGACCTCTGTGGACACTGCATGACATGGGTACACTTACAGGCAGGCAATGCATTCATTGCATAAAACAAAAAATACAATAAAAAAACTTCAAAAAAATTTCAAATTATGTATATGTGTATTTTACCTACATGTATGCCTGTCTCCCTAGTGCTGGGATGAAAATTTATTTGAAGCTGAGTGTGGTGGCAGATGCCTTTAATCCCAGCACTTTAGATGCTAAGAAAGGTAGCATCTGAGTTCAAGGCCAGCTTGGTCTACACAGTGAATTCCAGGCCAGCTAGAGCTATAAGACCCTATCTCAAAGTTTTTTGAGAGAAGTTCTCATTATGTAACCCCAGCTGGCCTGGAACTCACTATGTAGACCTGGCAGGTGGTGATCCTCCTTGCCATCAGAGTGTTGGGATTGTAGACTTCTGCTGTCACATCTGGTTCACACCTCTTTTTTTTTTTTTTTTTTTTTTTTTTTGGTCTTTTTTGAGACAAGGTCTCCCTGTAGCCACAGCTAGCCTGGATTCACTAAGGAGACCAAGCTGGCCTCGAACTCGGAGATCTGCCTGCCTCTGCTTCCCAAGTACTGGGATTAAAAGCATGTGCCACCACGCCTGGCTCGTAAATTATTTTTAAACCTCCCTCCCTCCTCCTCCTTTTGCAATAAAATCCTTTCTTCAACTGTGTTCTGACAAAGCAGCTTCCTGTATCAACAAGGACCTAGTAGTACTTTTCTTCTGACATATACTGAGGACACAAGACATAGTTTGGTGAAGAAGGCTGACAGTGATACAAACATGCATTACTTCAAGAAAACAGTAATAGGGCTATTGAGATGGCTCAGGGGTCAAGAGCACTGGCAGAGGACCCAGGTTCAGTTCCGAGCACCCACATGGTGTCCAACAATCATCCATAATTCCAGTTCCAGAGGATCCAGTGTCCTCTTTTGACCTCTAGCCATTGTACAAGGGTGCACTTACATACATGCATGCAAAACATTCACACACATAAAATTAATTTTAAAAAAACAGTAATAAATACCACCCAAACTAAACTCATTTACTGGTTCAGCATACAAATTCTAGTGGTCTTGTTGGGTTTTTGTTTTGTTTTGTTTTATGGTGTTGAGGGTTAAATTCAGGGCCTCAAGTATGTAAGCATGTGCTCTACTGCTGAGCTACACCCTCAGCCCCTATTTCTAATATTGTCAGTCCTCTGACTTGGACCTTGGCTTTGGGCCCTCAACTCAGTTCTAGTCTGAAAGGTTGATTAGGTTAAGTTCAACTATTTTCTGGTTCTAGTCACATGGGGTTGAAATGATTCATTATCCCTCTGGAAGGCAGTCCTGCTAGAGAAGCCACAAATAGGATTCAAAACTATACATCAGTGCTGGTTTTACCCAAATCCCACACTGCACAGCTAAGAGAAGTTGAGCAAAAACTCAGGCCAAACACTTCTGGGAGAAGGCCTAAGCAGCCTGAGCAGCTGCTAATGAAAGCTGCAAAAAATGGGAATTTGTTTCTTCCTCTCTGAGACTGGTTGATTCAGAACCTGAGTCCAAGTTTTATATCCTTAAGGAGACGTCAGCTACCATCTCATCAGGGAGATTATCTTCCAGTTCCAGGCTTCAACAGGAAATGATGGGTCCATGCTCCAGGACAGGAAAGGAGTTAAAATTTGAAGCCAGAATGAATGGCTACAATCCCTTTAGTTAGACTTTCATAAGTCACTTTCTGAAAGCCTGCATCTTCAATCATCTCCTTGAACTCTTCCTAAAACAAGAAAAGATACACCATGGAATGTTTGGATTTCAAAGTTAGGACCTTTGTTATAAGCTATAAGTTTGTTGATTTTTTTTTTTTTTTTAAGGCTTGAAGATGGGTTGGATGGAGAGATGGCTCTTGCAAAGGAACCAGGTTTGATTCCCAGCACCCACATGGTAGAACAACCAACCATAACTCTAGTTCCAGGGAATCCAATGCCCTCTTCTGGTCTTCTTAGACATTGCACAACACAGGTGCACTTACATACATGCAGGCAATACACTCATACACGTAAAATAAAAATAATATTTTTAAAAAATAAATATAGCTTGAAGAAATTTTATTAGCATTTAAAAGAAAAACCCTTCAAGCAGACCAGCTGTAAATCTCAACAGGAGAATGGAGGGGAGAAGGAAAAAGGCATGTTGTTTAAGCTGGATTGGAGGTCAGACACATGGTGGACAGGCAGTCAATGGCAGGCTTTAGAGAAAGAGGAAGGAAGCCCACAATGTTGGGGGAAGCCCAGAGTGTTAGGGAAGACATGCTTAGGAAAGAGATAGAAAGAAGAAGTTAGGCTTTTCTGAAGAATTAAAAAAAAGTGGGCAGATTTATGAAGCTGCAGGACTATGGCCTGGTAGACTACTCTTAGGCTACACAAGTTTTGTACCTGATTTGGGAATTTCCGGATACTCTCCACAAGGTACTGATAGGACTTCCAGTCTCCTGCAATGACCTCCCCAAGGACAGGAATGACCTGGAAGCTGTATAGATCATAAAACCTAAACAATAACCACAAAGGCGAAGATTCAGATTAGATCTGGGTTTGCATTTATTCCCTGACCTCTCCACCAATCAAAGAGAAAGATAATGAGAGAAAAGGAAGGAAGGAAGGAAGGAGGGAGGGAGGGAGGGAGGGAGGGAGGAAGGGGAGGAAAGGAGAGAGGGAGGAAGGGAGGGAGAGAGGGAGGGAGGGAGAGAGAAAAAGGAAGGAAGGAAGGAAGGAAGGAAGGAAGGAAGGAAGGAAGGAAGGAAGGAAGGAAGGAAGGAAGGAAAAGAAAGAAAGGAAAGGGCCAGAGAGAGGGCTTGCCAGTTAAGAGCATTTACTACTCTGGCAGACAACCAGGTTCAGTTCACAGCACTCACATCAGGCAGTTCACAACTGTTTCATGTCTTGTGGCCTCTGTGGACAATTGCACACATATGGTGCATATACACTCACATAGGAACACACATAATTTATTTCTGAAGAATTTTAAAAAGTGGGCAGATTTATCTTAAAAAAAAAATTAGCTGGGCATGGTGGCACATACCTTTAATCCCAGCACTTAGGAGGCAAAGGCAGGCAGATCTCCATGAGTTCTAGCCAGCCTGGTCTACACAGTGAATTCCAGGCCAGCTGGGGCTACAGGGAGACCCTATCTCAAAAAAAAAAAAAAAAAAAAGACATAAATAAATTTAGGGGCTGGGGGCTGGAGAGATGGCTCAGCAGTTAAGAGCACTGGCTGCTCTTGCAGAGGACCCTGTTCAATTCCCAGCACCCACATGGTGGCTAACAACCATCCTAACTCCAGTTCCAGGGTGTCTGCCATCTTCTGACCTCTGTGGGCATAGCATGACACAGGTGCACTTACATACATGCAAGCAATACAATCATACACATAAAATAATATTCTATAAAAATTTTTTTTAAATGCCCTGAATTTTTCCCACGGTAGTAAGCAACAGTTCTAAGTCAGGAGGGACAAACTTAAATGCCTACAGGGAGTTGACCAAGACCTTGAAATAAGGGGAGTAGGCCAAGAGCAAGATGGGCACAGTCACAACATTCCATGAAACTGGAGGAGGGTCTGTCGGTTCTTGGCTCTGACTATTGTATGTAAACGTTTGGGTCTACCAAGGTTGCAATATGTGTCTGATTTGGCCAGTGAAGCTGAAAATCCAGGTTTTTAATGTAAAATTTCTCAATTTTGTTTGAGATAGTCTCATTCTGTAGCCTAGCCAGAAACTTGTTATGTGGACCAGCTGGTTTTGAAATTGAGGGTGATTCTCCTGCCTCATCCTCCTGAGTGCTGAGATTATATGTGTGAGCCACCACACCTGGCTGTGTAAGTTTCCTAAAATATATGAGTAAAGCAAAACACATAATGTGGGCCAACCTGGGCCTCTGGTTACTGGTTTAAGTATTTTCATTTAGGACTCACTGATCTCTTAAGGTGTGCCTGTCCTTTGGGGCCTCCGGGCCTCTGAACCTACAAACTTGGTGCTTTGTTGCTTACTATTCTCTATTCATTTTAGGGTGGGGAACCTTTTGCTAGACAAAGAAGTTTATAAAGCCCTGTTGTCAATGCTAACCTGGATACAAAGGGATTATCCACTTGGCTAAACTCCAGACAGAGAAACTGTCCTCCTGGCTTTAGGACCCGATGGGCTTCCTGTAGCGCCTAAGAGAGACAAGGACAAAAAGAAACAAATCTCAGTGGACCTCCCCTCAACTCCATGAGGCAGAGGCCGGTTTAGTTTCTATGGGCATTACAAACATTATTTCCCCCAAATTCCCTTATTCTTAGAAGTTACAACAGCAGAAATCTATTGTAACAGGCATTTTGCTGCTCAAGACTAGAGAAAGGCACTGAGTAGAGAGACTGGTACAATTCCACGCAGAACAAGGTTAGAATTGTGGGTCACAATCACAGTAGATAACCTCTTCCATATAACAATCTTTTTTTTCTTTTTTTTTTTTTGTCTTTTTGAGACAGGGTCTCCCTGTAGCCCCAGCTGACCTGGAACTCGCTATGTAGACCAGGCTGGCCTCAAACTCACAGAGATCCACCTGCCCCTGCCTCCCAAGTGCTGAGATTAAAGGCGTGCGCCACCACACTCAGTTTATGTGGCTAATTTTAAAAGGAAGAACCAGGGCTGGAGAGAAGGCTCAGCAGTTAAGAATACTGGTTGTTCTTGCAGAAGAGCCAGGTTTGAATCCCAGCACCCATGTGGCAGCTAACAACTGTCCATAACTCCAGTTCCAGGGGATCCAAGAGCCTCTTCTGTCCTCCGCAGGCATTGCAAGACACGGATGCACATACCTACATGCAGGCAATACATACATACACATAAAGTTTAAAAATAATAAAATATAAAAGGAAGAACCAATACTCTTTTGTACTAACATAGAAAAAGTCACCAATATAAGCCAGGCCTGATAATACAGGCTGGCAATCTGAGCTACTTGGGAGGCTGAGCAAGAAAGATCACAAGTTTAAGGTCAGCCTGGGCTACAGAATGAGTTTAAGGCCAGCATAACTTAATGAGACCTTGTCTTAAAACAAAACAAGAAAAAAAGGGCTGGGGCTGAGTTTAGGGGTAGACTGTTTACTTGGCATGTGAAAAGGACCTGGGTTTGATCTTGAGCACAGGAAAAAATAAAATCACTGATTTGTATGTGTCTGTGTGTGTTTCATTAGAATGCTGAAGACTGAACCCAGAGCTTTGCGCGTTAGACTAGCACTCCACCACCAAGCTGTACCCCCAGTATATACCTGGCTTTATTTATTTATCATTATTTTATGCATATGAGTGTTATGCCTGGATGTACGTAGGTGCACCCTTGTTATACAATGCCTGTGGAGGCCAAAAGAGAATGCTGGGTCCCCTGGAACTAGAGTTACAGGCAGTTGTTAGCCACCATGTGGGTGCTAAGAACTAAACCCGGGTCCTCTGCAAGAGCAGTCACTGTTTTTAACTGCTGAGTCATCTCTCCAGCCTCTTAGATATATTTTTACAGAAAAAATGGCAATGGGGTCAGATGTGATCATGCACACCTGTAATCCCAGTACTTGAGAAGTAGTGGCAAAAGGATCAGAAGTTCAAGGCCAGCTTCAGCTACATATCCAATTCAAGGCCAGCCTTGGGTACATTAGAACCGGTCTCAAAAAAGAAAGAGAAAAAAATGTAATGGAGAATATGCTTAGAATGCTAATATTTGCATTAGATAAAAAGGAAATAGAAGCTGGGGAGATGACTGAGTTGGTAAAGTGCTTGTTGTATAAGCAGGAAGATCTGAGGTAAGATTCCCCAGCACCCAGCACTGGGAAGGCAGACATAGGAAAATCTCTGGGGCTTGGTGGCCAGTCAGTTTAGCTGAATCAATGGGAAGGTTCAGTGAAAAGACCCTGTCTCAAAAACCAAGGTGAGAGCTGGGGGTGCTGGCATGGTGACGCCCACCTTTAATCCCAGCCCTTGGGAGGCAGCCTGGTCTACAAAGCGAGTTCCAGGCCAGCTGGGGCTACAGAGAGACCCTGTCTCCCCCCTCCAAAAAAACCCCAAAACCAAGGTGAAGGGGGCCAGAAAGTTGGTTCAGCTGGTAAAGGCACTTACTAACTATATAAGCCTGGCAATGTGAGTTTGATTCCTAGAACCTACATAAAAGTGGAAGGAGAGAATAAACTCCACAAAAATTGTTCTCTGACATGTGTGCCATGGTACAGGCCCCCGCCACCCCTATACATGTGTGTGTGCATGCATGCATACACACACACACACACACACACAGAGGAAATAAGTGGTTATGATAGTGGCACAGGCCTGTATTCTCAGCACAGGGACACAGAAGTAGAACTATCTCTAGTTTGAGGTTAGCCTGAATAATGTGACATTCTGTCTAAAAAAAAACATTATCTTCTCAAATTTACTATATAGTCTTGAACTCCTGATCTCCTGCCTCCACTTCCTGAGCACTGGGGTTACAGGTATATGCTACCACTCTTGACTATAATACATAGACTTAATATACACAAAACATCTTTGCAAAGATATGCAAGGAATTGGGCACTATGTGGGAGAGGGGGCTCTGAATGGCTGGGAGATTAAGGGATGGAACTTTTCACTGATACAACCCTTTGAACTTTGGTCCTATCAAAAAGTATTTCATTTTTATCTTACTTTTTTGCTTTTTTGAGGTAAGGTTTTGTTTGTAGCCCTGGCTGCCTGGAGCTTGCAGTGATTCTTCTGCTTCTGCCTCCTGAGTGCTGGGGTACAGGTGTGAGCAAACCACAAATGGCAAAAAACATGTTTCAATCAGAACAAAAAATAAACCATCCACAGATACAGGACAGGTCATAAAAGCCAGGCTTTCCCCAGCCTACCCCCCTTTTTTTGATTGTTTGTTTGGAGTTTTTTTGAGACAGGGTTTCCCTATAGCCCCAGCTGGCCTGGAACTCGTTATGTAGACCTGGCTGGCCTGGATCTCAGAGATTCACCTGCCTCTGCCTCTCAAGTGCTGGAATAAAAGACATGCGCCACCGTGCCTAGCTTTTTTCTTTTTTTTTTTTTTTTAAAGATAGAATGTAGCTGGGCATGGTGGCACATGCCTTTAATCCCAGCACTTAGGAGGCAGAGGCAGGCGGGTCTCTGTGAGTTCGAGGTCAGCCTGGTCTACATAGTGAGTTTCAGGACAGCTGGGGCTACAGGGAGACTCTGTCTCAAAAAGACCAAAAAAAAAAAGATAGGATGTAGCTATATAACCAGGCTGATCTGGAACTCAAGTCCTCTCAAGTCCTGGATTGCATGCATATGCTTATGCTATTTCTCTCATGCCCTGCTTAGAAAAACTGTATTCTAGCAAATGCTCAAACCCATGGAGGAGGTTGTAGGATCCTCTGATTTTTAGTAAGGGAGAAATACCAGTGCAAACATGGACACACAACTTATATCTGAAGTAGAGGGCAGTTTAGTGGGACTGAGTCCTTAACCTGGAGGAATCTGTGATGAATCCATGTAGGGAATGTCTATCTGTAAGAGAATTATGTAGGAGAAACCCCACAAACCGGTGTCAGAAACAGTGTGCAGTATGGAGAAGACAGTGAATTTTCCCTCTTCAGTAGGAAAGTAATTTTTTTTTTTTTTTTTTTTTTTGGTCCTTTTGAGACAGGGTCTCCCTGTAGCCACAACTGGCCTGGATTCGCTATGGAGACCAGACCAGCCTCGAACTCCCAGAGATCCGCCTGCCTCTGCCTCCCAAGTGCTGGGATTAAAGGCGTGCGCTACCACGCCAGGCTGGAAAGTAATTTTCTACATGATTAATTTGTGTAGCATATTCTGTCTAAAAGAGTTTTTCTTAAGCTGGGTGTGGTAGCTCATGTCTACTCTAGCACTGAGGGTACAGGGACTGAAATAGAACTTCTGAAAGCTCAAGGACAGCTAAGAAAATATTTGCTGGGTATGATGGCACTCACCTTTAATCCCAGCACCTGGGAGGCAGAGGCAGGTGGAGCTCTGTGTGATCAAGGCCAGCCTGGTCTACATAGTGAGTTCCAGGCCAGCAGGGGCTACAGGGAGAACTTGTGTCAAAAAAATAATAATAATAAAGGGGAAAAAAAGAGATTTGTTTTTATTTTACATGTATGAGTATTTTGCCTACATACTACATATGTGCAGTGCCCACAGAGGCCAGGAGAGTCAGATCCTTTGGAGTAAGTTGTGAGCCACCATGTGAATGCTAGGATCTGAACCTGGATCCTCTGCAAGAGCAGCCAGTGCTTTTAACCATTGAACCATCTCTCCAGTTCTGACTTTTTTGAGACATGGTTTTACGATATAGGCCTTGTTGTCCTGGAACTCACTGTGTAGACCAGGCTGGCTTGGGACGTGCATGAATCCTCCTGCCTTTGCCTATAGAGCACTGAAATTACAGTCATGTGCTACTACACCTGACTACTAAGATTAATTAGTATATATTCATATTATATATATAATTATATATATACACATATATGTGCATATGTGTGGGAATGCATGCCACAGCACACATGTGGAGGTCAGAGGACAACCTGCAGGAGTCAGTTTCTCCTTCCACTATGTAGATATTGGAGATGAGCTCAGGTCATCAGGCTTGGCGACAAACACCTTTACCCAGAGCTTTTGATCTTGTTTTACAAGTTACAGTAGAAAGAGAGGGAGAAAGGGATTGAAGGTGACAAGGTGAAGGGGAAGGGAAAGGGGAGAGGAAGAAGGAAGGGAGGGAAAGGTGAAGGAGGCAGGGATGGGGTAGAGGTGGGGAGAGAGAAACAGTGCAGAGGAGGAGAGAGAAAGACTAGACAGGCCAAGGTCCCAAAATCCCCAGAAGGCACGCACACACTCAACTGACAGTTCCTACAAGTCCCCACCTAAAGTCCACAGCACCGTTCAATAGTATTACCCTGAGGTCCTTTTAACATGGGGACCTCTGGACAGTACTACCTATATTCAAATCATAACAAGCACATAAAAGAATGTCCAACCAGGGGCTGGAGAGGTGGCTCAGCGGTTAAGAGCACTGAGGACCAGGGTTCAGTTCCCCACACTCACATGATGGCTAACAATTGTCCATAACTCCAGTTCCAAGGATCCAATACCTTCTTCTGACTTTGATGGGCACTGCACGACATGGGTGCACTTATGTACATGCAGGCAATACACTCATACACATAAAATAAAAATAATAAATAAAATATATTTTTAAAAAAATGTCCAACCACAAGCAGAAGAGTCAGACAACTGCAGCCCATATTTCAGAAAAGAAAGCA